ATTTGTATTTTGATTTATAAAAACATGTTAGAAATACTTTAACCGGTATCAAATTGTCAAATAAACAAAAAGAAATAAAAAGAGTTGAGAGGATTTGAAGTTTTAGTTTGTAAGTAACAACAGTTTAAGCATTAAAATATAACAAAATGTTTTTGAATATGGCGTGTAACAACAATATTTTTTCAACATGGCATGTAATAACAGTATTTTTTTTTAACATGGCGTGTAACAACAATTTTTAACTATGACGTGTAACATATTTTTGTACATAGCATGTGACAACAATATTTTTTTTAACATGACATGTAATAACCTAACCATGATGTGTAACATATTTTTGTACATGACGTGTAACAAGCTAACCATGAAGTGTCACATGTTTTTGTACATGTCGTGTAACAACTTAATTATGACGTGTAATATATTTCTGTATATGATGTGTAACATCATAGCATATAATTTCATTAAGGGTAATTTTGTCTAACTTAGTTAAAAATAGTTAAAATTATAAAAGAGACTATTTTAGAAAATATTTTATTTTTAAAAGTTATTTTTTAAAATGCCCTAAAAACAAAACAAAAGAACCCAGTCATAATGTGTATACCAGTTAGGTGACAAATTGTTCACATATTGGTTGAGCCTTTTCACTATATGAAATAAATAGACGAAAAATTGGACCTATTTGATCATCAAGAAATTATATATCCTTGAGTTAACTAAGATTTCATTTTTTGTAAGAATATTTCAAAAGTAAAATTTTGAATACAACATTTGACAAAGTAATATTCGAATTTCTCTTCTCTCAAATAAAAAAAATGATTAATATTTTTAATGTGTAATTTTGATTAAAAAAGTGTATCTTTATTATCTTTAATAAATTCACATGGAATAATATTAGTGTATGTTATGATGATCCTGCAACCATAATCATAATGAACACATGGGAAGATGTACATGATTTTGGGGATTTCATTTTTGGCAAATTTAAATAATTTATTCAATCAAATCTCATGGTTCCTAGCCTAGGGAGGGACCATGGACCATGGCTACCTCCATTATGAGTAGAAAAAAATAATTTACAATATGCTTTTGAATTTTCTAGAGAAACTCATGCTTCTATATCATCAAAATTATTTAAGTCACATACCCCACTATAGATTTTATAGCGACATGAATTTTGTCAGATTAAGTTTGGTGTTGTTTTGAGGAAAAATATTATTAGTGTCAATTAAGTGTGATATTTAAATGGTAGATTCCAAGTAGACAGGTACAAGTTTTAAGTCATGGTTCATGGACATTTAAATTGTACTGAATATCATATTTTTGTCTCTTTTATTATAGAATAATAATTTTTAAGTGACACCCTAAACAAAAAATTTTGTTAATTTCATGGTCATTGTTATTTTTGGATTCCATTTCTTAAGACTTGCCTATGTTGTCATTGTATGTTTTAAATGCAAATAGAAAAGCCAATAAAAGTATATTCTAACTAGTTCAAAATTGGCTTTTAAAATATTTCAATTTAAAAAATAAGCTTTGGGTTAATTTAATTATCACTCATATAAATTATATAAATTATAAAGTACCCACCAA